AGGTTCCCCAATAAGCATGGACTCGGGTATAGCACCATTGTGCCGCACAAAGAAGCGAGGGCCGGCTCAATGACGGAGAACCGGCGTGGGGCCTGGAGCGGGACATTTTCAAAAAAACTTGGTCGATCGATCGATCTTAGGGGGAAGTCAAACCGGGGATGGGGCGTTGCTCTGAAGCGACGACAGCACCATGATCCTCTATATCGGAGTCGAGTTCCCCTCAAGGTTGGATTCGCATGACGAACCAGGCACGCTGGGGATTGAGTGTCGAGTGTCGACGAAACTGCGGAATATGGTGCGGGAAGCGTGAAATATGGATGCACATCATTCCAAATGCCCGAACTGATTTCCGTCCCCGAATCTGATTCAGCACATCGCTTGCAGCACTCTCGCTCTTTCCATGCTGCCTAATTCTCTCGCTCTTCCGGATTTTCGGTAATTTCCGGCACCCACGGAACGAACCGGAAGCTGATGTCTGAGGCTCGTGACTCGCGTGGAAAATTCTCAGCACGCATATCTCTGGATCCCGAAATTATCGCATCGAGTCGATTGCCTCAATTCTGCGAGCCTGATAGACGCAATCGTCCCACGATAGAGCTCGAATAAACCTGCCGAAGGGGATATTCGTCGAAACTCACATTTCTGTCCATGGAACCTACCTCGAGCTCCCCCAGTGAAGATAGCCATTCGAAGTAGAGAGTGAGAGAGAGGACGCGCCCTCTTCAAACGAAAAAAAGAGGAGAGACACCAACCTCATCTGTGACTTGGTCAGAGCCTCCGCAGGATGGATTCTGTAGAGAGCGCACATATTTTCGGTACTGCGCTGATATCTCCTAAATTGGAGGATTTTCATATGCTGCAATCCCTGTTGAACGAACCCGATGTTGACTCCAGCGAAATACGCTTCTGAAGCGAAAATTTCTCAAGCTGGAGTCAGGAATCGATTCGCCTGATTCTCATGCCGATATGACCCAAGATCCTAAGGAGCATTCTCTTCTACGTCGCATCGATATACCTATACCGTGTGTTATCGGTATTGGGTCAATATTGAATAACCTCCCCTCGTATTCCCCCGAAGCCTGACGAGCTTTGCACATCGAGGATTTGTGCAGAACGCGCTGTCCACGTTGTAGGGTGTCGTCGGTCCACGTGGAGAGAAGGATCGGGCAGGGTCTCGGCTGACTGCTAAGATCTGCGGATCTTGGCGAAAATCAAGAGGGATGATGGGGGTCTGTCAAGATGTCGATGGGGAGCACAGCGAAGATCTCGATGTCGAGCATACCCACATGAATTGCGACATGCGAGCGCCGATATTACCAATCTTATTATACATATGAGCCAATCATTTTTGGAGGAGGAGCTCGCTCCTACAGACTCTTATAGAGCTTTTGATCGCCTCCTCCGAGTTAGTGCATCGTTTCTGATCGAAGGAGCGATGAAAGTCATTGCCACAATCCGAGGCTCCACGATGCTGGACTTTCGGGCCCTGAGACCTCTTCACTCAGCTCCATGTATCGATGATCACTTGAATAATCTCGTTGATACCGCTGCCGCTCTCAAGCCTCAGAGAGCCCTTCGTTGGCTGTCACACGGAGTCTTGAGTTCACTGACCGGTATGCCGAAGACATCAAACTCGCAATGAAGAAAATCTCGCACTATGGGAGATTGTCAAGAGCGCGGTACGAGACGAGAGCTCTGTAGCACCGCACGCCTGAGTACCCCGATCCGCTCCACCTCAGTTGAACAAGCTGCGAACCCAATCATATCTCCGAGAGTTTCGATGGAACAAGTGGGATGGAGTAATTATGAAGTAATAGTCAATAACCTCTTTAAATCACCTTATAACAGATCACTTTATCACAAGATCTCCTCCTTAGATCCGCTGCAAGATTCCGCGATCCGAGTGCTCAGATATCACCGACTTCGGAGTTGACCGAGCTCGACGTGTCTTCGTCCGTCGGGTGAAGCGACCATATTGGCGAGCTCGGTCGCGACACCGCTGCGTAGCTGTCCGATGGTACGGACACGCCCGACAGCGGTGAACTTCCCCTCGACGAACCAGGAGAACCGGCCGAAGAAATTCCCGCGGGCGAGATGGAAATCGATAAATAATGGCGCCCGAACCGCGGTGTTGAGAAAATTTCGAGCAGGAGAAAAGCTGCGAAGTGAAGGGCTCGATCGATGCGAAAAATCTATGATTCGATTCGAGGAAGGGGACAGATCCGAGGAAGAAGACCCGGAGTTTGACGGGTACGATGGATGTTCAGAGGAAGATTCCAGATCAGATGAGTCATGAGAAAATGACCCGGGAGATCCGAGCTCGGAGGGAGCTACGGAAGGCGGTGTCATCGACTCGGGCCTGTTCTGTCCGGTTTTGATTGCGATGTCCGTCCGACTGGTGTCCGGTTATCGGGGAAAAAATGTCCGCCTGATTCGGAACTCTACTCATCATCTTCATCTTTGGACGATGACTATCATTCGATGTCTCTTCAGTCAGTATCTTTCTTTTGTTGGCGAATTCTTGTGTGCTTCCCTCATTGGTCACTCCAAGTTTGACGTCCCTCGTTGCGCGTTGAGACGACGACTATCAAAGTAACTCATGTATGCTATCATCTGGTTTGAGGCTGCATCTCGTGATTTGACAAGGGAAAGATACCTAATAGAGGTGAGAAAATGGTGGTTCATGGATGATAGGGATCGCCATGTACGATCCGTCTTAGTCATTGTGAGTTTAGAATCCGGAAGAGCTCCACTTCTAGTCAAGGCTCCTCCTGCTCCCGCGGCAGGCGCGAGCGACGACGTTATGGAAGTCGAACCGGCTGCCGAAAAGATCAAAACCAAAAGGTCGTCCAGCAACGTGAGCCGGGATAGCCTCGAATCTGCCGGTTCCCGACAGAGAGCTTCTCGAGCACGGATATCAAGTCGCGGAGATACCATTGGATTCCGACGATGATGAAGACGCCGATGAAGACGACGATGAAGATGACGACGCCGATCACAGTGTAGGCTGCGTCGGCACCGAGGTAACATCATGACGGCTCGACCGCCAGTGGAAAGATCCGCTTCGGTCCGAACGTCGAGGAGCACCCCACATCCGCACTGTCTAATTGATTCATGCTCCCGCGGTCCGCGTGATTGTTCCACGAAGGGTGTGCGGTGCGCGATAGGGGTGAAACGACCGTTTCATTGGATCCGTGGGGTGATTCAACTTCTTGTTGACTTTGCCCCTCAATTGCGAGGCTCTTTTCGATTTTTCCGACGACCGAACGATTGCATCCGACCTCGCCAATATTAGATTGATGATCGTCTAGTCGCTCGTGGAAGTTTCCGGCTTTGATCTGCGAGCAAAATCAACTCTAATCCCGGAACCCGCACCTCTCCATGTTTGAAACGGTGCGGAGCCTCGACGAGCCTCGACCGAGACACCAACCTTCTGCCTAATGATCCACGCGTCGCGAAGCCCTGCCCTTGCAGAAGATCATTCATAGCTAGTTCATGAAATGCTCGGTCCAGATCGTCTTAAGAGGTTTCACCCCTGCACCTACCGGTGTCATCCCGCTCTTCGGCTCCGCTGTGGATGTCCAATTTGCTCTTAGGAAGATTCTCACCAAAACAAGAGATTGAAAAATGGACGCGCTTTCTTCGAATGGACCCAGAGGGAAAATCACCACCCCGACCATTGAGATCCTGCGAGCTGTGTAGAGGGGCGTCATGAAGTTCCACGACTCGGCAGCTTTGTCTTATCATTACAATTTCGTCTGTGTCTGTACTGGCAAGCTTCGCAAAACATTCCGATCTGACCGGCCGTACATGCTCACGGGAAGCCTCAGGTCTTCGATGTCGGCTCTATGAGAATCCAGGTTTTCCCCAGAACGTATCGGTTCTCTCCTGTTAAATGATCCCGAAAGTCAGATCCCGAGAGAGAGAGTTACATTCGTGGACCTTAGCGGGATCCATCCTATGATCATGAGATGCCGGGCGCTCCCGGTTCGAACGTCCACGAACGTCGAGCTACGCCCATGGAGGACAAATGAGATGGTCGATATTCGTACGAGTCGTAAACTTAGTATAAAAGCGGAAACTCGCGATGATAATTCCCGGAGGATCGCAGGAAAGTGTTATATCGCCGAGAGTATATTGTATCCGAGGAAATTGACAAGGGGGTATCCGAGGTCGGGAAGGTGCTGCTCGTCTCATACACGCTAGCTTCCAGCTCTTAGAACTCCCCCGCCGTTTTCATCGCTTGTACCTCCGGGAAGCCTTCGAATAGAGAAATTCGACTTCCTGGGACCGGAAATAATTCGACATCTTTCCCGGACTCCGCGAGACATTAGGGGTCGCCCCGCCAAGATACCAGAGATCTCAATCTCGTCTCTTTCTGATTTCTCGCAAGCTCCTGATAGTGAGCCGACGATACTCCACGAAGGGCGCGTGTTTCGTCTTTTTGGTTCACGTGCACGACGCAGTTCGAATCCTCGGATCGTTCCAAAGGGGCACGACATTCCAAGCAGCAGGATCTGGTGCTCTTTCTCGTGAAAGGTTTCATTTGCTGGTGGAAAACGGAGCGAACGGATTGTTTAGGACGAGCCTTTTTGGAGAAAGCGTCCGATTTGTGGCAAATTCCAGTTTTAGAAATCGCCCAGGAGCCTCGATCGGAAACTTGCTGGTGAGCTTGTTTTTGCAATCTCCATCTTATAATTCCTCATATCAGAATGATTCGGCGGGAGCGAGATCATTCCGACGGCTCGATACCGCTGTTGATGCACCGTCAGCCCTCGTTTTCCGGATTTCGGAGCACAGGGTACGCGAAAGCTCGAGCTAGTCAGTCGGAGCTCCTCAGCCGGGGAGTCAGTAGAGACTGTCGCTCGCACCCCACGCAGTTTCGACCCTCCCCATACAGTTCACTACAACCCCCCGAGAATCGGTTGGCGCTGGCTTTCGAGTCAGAAATCCACCTTCTCGCCCTGTGAGTGAGAGCTAGACGATATTTCTTGTCATCTGGGTCAGTCCTGAACTTCTACAGGTACCTGCTCTCCAGCATTCTGGTTTTCGTATCGATTCGAGCTCGCTGGCGATTGAGAAGAGACCAATCGATTCCGTGCTCCGTCAGAAGCAGTCGCACTCTCGAACACTCAAGAAGTCATGTCGACCCCGCTGCGAGAGTTCAGGTGAGTGCCGCAACTCGGGTCCATGGGAACCACTATTCACCAAGCGTGGATATTCATAATGATCATGTGGTGCCGGCTCGATAAATAATTCTCCCTGAACGTACTTTGATTGATCTTTTTCCAGGAGCCGGCTTGCGGCTCAGTTCGGTGGCGCTGCGCCCACTAAGGAAACCCACGATATATCCGCGGGGATACCGGTGGAGGAGCGACCGGATCCACTTCCCTTCAAATTCGAGTATGAGTCTCTCCGTGGCGGTCAGTTCCTACCCTTCGGTGCTGTGAGCGTGAGTACAACCGAAACCGTCCCCGATCCGAGGCTCGCGCCGGGTTACGAGCGCTCTCTGAAGTTGAAGAATAAACTCGGCTGAGCCTTGTGAGGAACGGACCGATTTTACCGCCTGAGGACGAATAATTTTAATCTCGGAGCCATCTCGCTCACACAAACGTTTCAGTAGATCAGTTTGAGCTGTGTTGGAATGCTCCGCGCTGGGGCTTGTTTTGAGGTTTAAATAAAAAGTGACGTAAACACAATCAGAGAGTATTGTCGTGTTGGCTCAATTCAGAAAGGCTCTCACGGCCCTTGGAGATTAAAATCCAGTCCTCGAACTGCTTCTCATAAGTTAATCGAATGCGCGATGCACTTGAACTTAGAGCGCGTGATCTTACGGAGCACCCGCTTTTCGGCTGCCCCCCTCCGCGAACCAAATAACCAATGCGTGAAATCGGAAGCGGGCAGGCGAAAACAGCTGATCCAGCAGAATATGTCTATCTGAATCCGATCAATCGGACCGACAATTCTCAGAGTCCGTCCACTTCGAGAGTTCTCGGCATTCCAGAATTGATTCCGGCGGCTCGCTTGGGAAATCACAAGCCCGGGAATTAATCGGCTTCTGTGATTCTAAGCATCGACGCACGCCATCGATGGGAAGTTTTCGTCCGCGGAGTGAATCCCTGCGAGTATGTTTTAGAATCGGATCAAATACTTGAAAGTGTCGATGTCGACGGATACCGAGATAGTTTAGACAGAGGTGTCCCGACCTCAGGAAATGCGAGCTGATGATATTGGGGTTGGAATGGAGGTGCGTCTGAGAATATATGCGTCCCGCTCGCAACTTTAGGGTTCCTTGCGACGAAAGAGGAACTCCTAGCTGGCCCTTCGGGGCGAGAGAATTGGCTTCTACGTGGTTCTAGGGAAAACCAGTCGCTCCCACACAATCGAACCTCGACGCTGAAAGCTGAGAGAACACTCGTCATAATCACAGTTTTTTTCACATCGCGTAACTCGCCAACCCCTGCTGTTCCATCCCACACCGGAAGAACAGAAAAGACCCTCGGAACATAGGACGACGAATCAGACAGCGTAATAACGATGATTGACATATTATTTCACGCTGCCTCCTTCGCAAGAAGGTTCTCGAGTCTCGATTTCTCGCTCGCGACCTCTTCCATGACCTTGGCTAGCAATTCGCGGCGGACTTTTTGGTCCTGAATCATCTCTTTGAGGAGCTCAGGGTCGGCGGGTATCGTTTTCACTTTCCAGCAATCCATCCCGATCGGTAATTGTTTCTTCCGATGCGTGTAGCCCGCGTAGTACATGGGGAATCCGAGGTCTTCCTCGTGGTCCTCATCGACTTCTATCCTAGCGTAATTGAAGGAAGAACGTTCCTCGTATCTTTTATACGCTTCCTCGGTGGCGTCATCTTTGTCTTCACCGCTGACTTCGGCCCTGTCCTCGCCGATGGCCCCATCGTTGACTTCTAGGCAGGAGAGCGTTCTTCATCGAAACAGATTACGGCATTTTACTGAGCAGCAACCTCTCGACAGTATGTCGCAGTAGACTCACCTGCATCGTCGTTCGAACCGTATGACACGTCGTCCTCTTCGGTATCGTAATCTAGGTAGCTCCTCTCGGTGCTCACCACGTCGTGGAGTCCAGCGGGCCCAGGAACGTCGCTGCTGACATCGGACTCATCCCCAGACGACGTACCACTGGTCGCGTTCTCCGGTGCGGGAGAAGCCATCTCGAAAGCAAGGCACTTCTGCTTCGAAATGAGTTGAAGACCGTGGCAGCGCCGATTTATAGAAGACCTCTGGCCTGTCTTTTTGCCTTAATGAAGCTTCCATTGATGCCTGGAATCCATCATTCAGAAGGAACGAGCGCTCCTAGCGTTTTTGCGAGGGCAGGCCCATGGATCTGACACTGATTCGATAGATATGTTGTTTGTTCCTTATCTCGTTTGTCCCGAATGACAACGAAATCGACCATTTCCGCAAGAGACCCCCAGCTCTGCCGCGACTGGCGAGTCTTACAGTGAGCTGAACAGCCCGCGGAAGAAGGACTGGAAGGAGGATTCTCGCATGCGGTTTCGAGTCCGGATCTTATCTCCGGATTACGTCGACACACTGGATTATTCGGAATCGCCTTCAGATGGGTCCTCTGCTCGTCGAAATTTCCAAGCGGCAGGATACGCCGGAAGAGCGTCGTAGCTGACAGTCTAGACGCTGCGCGCAATTCATTGAGCTGAGAAAGCCAACGTCGTCGCAGGGAGTCTGCTGCAGACTTCAGGTAGGTCTCGGCCCAGGATAGCATCTGTCGCTCTGGGAGACCACAGGTGAAATTTTCTCCTCAGTAAATCGGGGAAAATGCGGATATGTTTAATGCCAAGTCATTGACACTGACTTCTCGCGTTCCATGTGCGAGTCGCCGCTGTCGATTGACCTCCCCGTGCGGAGAGAGTGAAACCGCGTCAGTTCAACAACCAATTCCCTCGCGCCAGCTGCAACAATCCTATCCAAAGATGGAAAGACTCGTCGCTCGTTCGTCAGGGTAACGCGTCCTCGCGATCCAGAAGCGAGCGAGGAACGGGTGTGTTATCGCGAGAGACTCCCGATCTTTTCGCGGAATTTCCTCCTCATAGTGACTCGCTGAGGCTTCGCTTTATAGACTCCAGAGTCAATGTGGATATAGGCTCGAATTGAGTAGAAGAATGACGACAAGCATGTGCGATATTCATGATTCTCTCAAGGAAGCTTAGCTCCTGCCTCCCCAGACGACTACAGATGTGTCACATTTATTTTGAGCAATGCTCTGAATAAAACCCCATATCTACAGCACGTGAAAGATTGAGAACCTTGGGGAAGGTCGCCAGCCGTCGACTACCCTGGGATGAGGGACAATGGATTCAATTGGTTCCTGAACAGAGCACCTACCCTGACGGCTGCCTTCATAGCGATAAGCGGCATCGTCACAACAAGCGGGCTCACGAACCATGGCAGAGCGTCCTTCAAGCGATCTCCTGGGAATAATAGAAATCAGCTATCAAGCAGCGTTCTCGCTCAGTATGCCGCTGATTCGTTCGCATAGAAGAGCTGGACTTTTGCATCGATTCGGGAGGATCTGTGCTTACCGATCTTGTCGAGCCTTCCAAATGCCTTACTCGTTGAGCCTAAGATGATCACGGGTGTGATCGCATTAAGGACAGCGGGGCCAACTGAGGAAAAAGTCCTGCTTAAAATTCGCACCCTTGGAAATCACCCTCCGGAGAACACTCGGGGATCCTCTCACGCTGTATTCGGTCCCAATCAGGTTGCTCCGCGAGCTTCTTTCCCTTTCATGATTTGTAACCGATTCTCTCAGAGACTTGCCGGGTTCAATGTCTCGAGCAGAGTCCTTCCCCCTGTCAGAGCACGCGTGAGGTCCAACTTCTCAATAATACCTCTGTGAGAGTGGAATCGGGGATAGATACTCACGTGCTGAAATGATTCCGGGGAAGTCCCTCTTTTCGATCGCTTTGTCAAGATTGGACAGCGCCGCCCCGAAAGGATCTGTGGAAACGAAGAATAATGCAGCTTTTTCCCCTGCTGTGGTCTCGAATCGAAAGCACCATTGAGTGTCGCAAAATCGTACCCGCCAAACCGATCATGTTCCTCGGTACGTTGGGGAGACCCTTCGTGATATCTCTCGCAATGCCAAACGTGTTGTTCATTGCACCTCCAAAGACTTTGTTGACGCCTCCAGTGATGTCGGTCAGAGCTCCCATGGGGTTTGTGATCCTATTGCCCAGATCTCCCCCGAAGGTCTTGCTGAGGTTGGAGAAACCCCCGAGCGGATTTCCGGCGACGTCACCCAGACCTTTTCCGAGACTCTCAGAAAAACCGCTGAGGGAGCTCACAGGATTCTTGATCGCATTTCCTAGAGCGCCTCCCATTCCTTCGGGCGGATTGGTCAAGACACCCAGCGGATTTCGGATTGCGTTCCCCAAACCTCCGCCGACACTTCTGGTGACACCGCTCACAGAGTCTACTGTGTTGTTCACGGCACTGTTCACTGTACTCCGAACATCTCTGGTGGAGTTGTTGAGAGCACCGAACGGATCTTTGAGAGTATTTTGGGCTCTTTCGCTCAGATCCTTCGTGGTCCGCTGCACGGTTTCTTGAGTATCGTCCACGAGATTTTTAAAACTACCCACGGGATCTTTGACGGTCTTTTGGAAGTTCTCGGCGGTCCTCTTTGACGCATCTTGCAGGTCCTTCAAGGGATTGATTCCCAGAAGTCCCTGTCCAGCTCCCACGGAAATGACGGCGGAAAATGCGGCGAGGAGCGTCAATCTCATGCTCAGGCGGTATGCTCAGCGCGTCTGAGAGACACGGCAGGTAAAAAATTATATCCCTGTACTGCCAGCTGTTTGTTGACGTCCTCTGGGAATCCGCTCTCATGACGTTCCGCGGTGTCCGGAAAAGCGATCGGAGGACACATCAGTACCTAGAGCTAGGACTCGGATCGTAGAGCAGGTCAGAGCTAGGACAAGAGGATTCTTCTTGATCGAGAGGCGCTACTCAAAGGACTGTCCGGAATTGAAATACTGATTGTCACTTGATGCGATCTCTCTTCAAAGTATAGCATTCCCGGGCTCGAGAGGCCCGCCTCCTTGGAGAGCTCTGGGCTCTCCCTCGAGATACCTCCACAATGAGCGCACCTCTCAAGGTCAGACATTTGCGGGAGCAAAGTTCAAGACTTTGCGGAACCACTCCTCTTCGACGATGAGAGAGGAGATTGGCATTCTCCTCGTGACCCTGCGTTCCAGGTTGAGTCTGCGGAGCGGTCGGTGAGAAGTCACCATGGAGCTTTGAGCTCGATGAGGCTCTATCTGACGATATCATGAGTGATGTTCATTTGTTTGACCTCAGGTCGTAGGACACCATCACTCCCCACCTCTGAACAACTGTCCTGATCCGGGCCATCGTGCGTCGGGGGCTCTGGACCCTGAGACTCCTGAGCAGAAGGGAAGTCTTCGTCGTATTCTCGCGATCGCGTTCGGAGCCTTTCGAAGTAATTCCAAAAAGACCCTCCGAGATACTGCGAATGATGACAATGCCATCTCAATTCCTCGCAGGATAGTGCATTCACTGAGCATTTTCCCTATGACTCATTTCCTCTGAGAAGCTCTGCAAGTGTTCAGACCGATCCCGTACGCAGGCATCTGGCGGGAGCGCCCACCTCGAGCAAACAGCCGCGCAACAACCCGAAAGCGTCTACGGTCTACGGACTCTGCATATATCAGGAGTCGGGACTTAATGGCTTCTCACGACGGGATAATCACAGTCATTGGATCCTGAAAGCTCTCTCTTATATTCATGCGGTCCCGAGCCTTTTTCCTTCTAGGAAGCCGTGAATTTATTCCGAATGAGCGGGGAATGCCCTCGATGAGCTCGTTCTGCTCCCAAGGTCGAGACGACTGGTGGGGATGAATGCGAACAGACAGAGCTTACAATAATCCGAAGCCAAGGACTTGCTCTTCGAAACCCAGAGCCATGCCCGACCTCGATCTTCGGATTCTGGGACTTCGATTCAAATCATGAATATCCGAAACGTCGACGGAAATGTTATCTGTGATCTCGCTTTCTTTGAGCCGTCGTCCATAAGCTGGGTGAAAGAGGGAATCTCCACGGATGATACGACAAAGCTATGCTTTGAATTGAATATGATCAATCGCGGGGCGGGTACGATCAAGGATCCGGAACGGATCCGACGCTCGATTGAGCTGGGCGATTCATCGGATCGATTATCGACGCCTGTAATACTTAACATGAAATGACTGTCGATGAGGATCAAAATCTCCGTCACGTTCAATTTCGTCTTGGTCGAGCTCGTTTCCTGTTTTTCAGTGTTTGTCGTTCTCACTGTTACCATGTAGTCTTCTGTGCATAATTCAAGAACCCTGCCTTGTGTGTCAACGATACCTCATCGATCATAGAGCTATCGACAAATTACAATGAAATCTTTCAGGGAACTAGAAGAAGTCCGCAGAATCGAAACTGATTCCCTTATAATCAGGGCGGGATTGCGTCGGAGAACACAATGGCGGTGCTGGCCGAGAGTGAGTCGGATGCCTTTTCAAATTCGTACATATGTCCGTCCCGAGTGAAAGAGATGCGCTCGCTGATATTTCAATCTGCTGGTCACACTTGTTGGAGCTCCGTCAAAGCAGACTCATCTGATAAACGCGAATGACTGAACGGTGATGAAAACTCGTCCAGGACGATAAGCTCTGATTTACGCGCGGTCCGTTCTTCAACCCGATCAAGCAGAGCCGGCTAATTGTCTCTGCGGTGAGGTGACGACTATTCTCCGAGCATGGAGGAGCACAGCGAGATCACCCTAATCCGAATGAAAACCCTTCATGCTATCCGAGCGAAGCTCGGGACCAGACGGAGTCGAATCGGTATCCATGCGGGTCACGACATGAGAGATCGGTAGATAAATATCGAGGAAAGGGGGAGCATTCGGGTGAATTGCGAGTAGTCCCATAGACATATCTGATCAAATTCCGCTTCTGGGGAAGGGGCTATAAGAAACAGAGCATACAGGAAGCTCGAGGGACGATTACGGCGCAATAGCCGATGAGTTCACCGAAAGTTTTCTGAAACGTCGCGTAGCAGGTGCCTGAGTGGTAGACGATTCAACACAAGGAGTGGAGTTTGTATGACCGCCGCGAAACTTATCGATTCAAGGCCGAAATTCTAGGTATAAATATAGCAGTAAAGAAAAAACCATATGGATTTATTCATTGTACAGATAGATCGGCAGATCGGAGCTGAACCCGCGGCTCCTGCTAGATCATTTGGGAAATTGACCAGATTTCAAAGACGAGTGCGACAAGATGAGATTTTTTCGAATGGAGAGATGAGCATGAGAATCAGATATCTTCCAAGGCGAAAGGGTTCGGTGCAGAATATTCCGGGGCGGTATCGATGAGACTCAATGCCAACGATCACCCGATCGCGCCAATCGTCATGTCTCTTAATCTAATTATGACTGCAAAAAAACGTGAGAGGATTAAAATGAACGCCTCTCCCCGACTGAAGCTGTCCTTGTGGATTTATTGCATCAGACGACCGAAACACGGACTCACTGTTCGGTATGACACCATATAGCGTGTGTTGCGCGGCATCCGTCAGGAACAAATCCCCTATGACAGGTAAGCTAGCTGCAATCGGTCAAAATTATCTGCTTCTTAGACTATACCTAATTCCCACTCAGTTAATCAGTCAATCACCTAAGCATTGCTCGACTCGGACACTTCTCGTCAGGCCTTAGGGCAGCGGCTCGACTCTCAAAGCAGTGATCGATTCAATAAACAATCGAGAATTCAATCATGCAGAGCCCGCGGTTTTGCAAGGAAGCCGCTCCCGTTATGCACGAACGCTTCGCTGCGGGGAAGCCGTCTGTGAACTGGACAAGCGGTCCTGACAAACGCGCTCCGCTGTTCGGATAAACCGTGCGTCGATAACGATACCGAGCGCAAAAATCTTGCTTTCTAGAGAGGAATGGGTCACAGAGAAAGATCTGTCGAGGCTCACTCCTCTGCGCGAATCCAGCGACTGTCCGAGAACGAGCGGAAGGGTTTGGTACGAGACGAAGATTCGCTTACCGATCAGAATCACCAATCCATCCACGATATCGTAAGCGGTAGCCAATGCGCTCTGTGCTCTGCCAGGCGAACCGTCCGCGTATGCCTCGACCGGGCTTTCAGCCAAGAGCTTGTCCCAGAAGGTCTTGTTGAGAATCAAATTCGTCAGGTTAGCGATCTCAGATTCAGTCAGCCGCTTCCGCGTGGGAGTAGACGCTTGTAATTGACTCAGAAGACTCGCTCCGAACAGCCACATCAGAGTCAGGCTCGACCATTTTTGCATCTCTGAAACAAGAGAACCGAGGGAATCGGAAATCCGGCGGGCGATACACTCGAGCGAACCTTCAAGTTCTAAGGCTTCTATGGAATGAACTGACGTGAGCTGTGAGCCGAACTGTATGGCGCAACGACCGATCCGGGCTACATATACTCATTCGCCGGTGCCGTTCGATAAATCACATCTCCGACGCTATTTCAATCGCGGAAAACGAAAAAAGTAATTTCACCGTGAAATGGCGAGCGCCGTGGGATAGTAATCTTATCGACTGAAAGCTAGCAGTTAACGTGGAGCATAAGGCTCAGCAGCTGCGCCCTGTGGAATGATAGAATCTAACCTGGTTTTCGCTTTGTTTCCGATAGGCACCTGATGTGCCCGACGCTCTAGATCCGTGACTTGACCGAAGTCTTCTCCCATCCAGGGATTAGACTAGACTGCATCGCCTATTGTATTTATCAGCAGGCACTGGTTTCGGGCGCGCCAGCCCAAGCAAGCACGGGTGAGGATGGCAAGCTTCCGTTCCCCGGCACCTGACAACGGAAAGGAGAACCCGTTCATCGGATCGCCCCCGCCGGACGACATTAACCCGCTTCCGACGCTCATGGAGAATCCCCGGCAGGGAACTGCAGGATATGTATCATATATTGTGTACAATGGTGCTATTGGCCGATCCAATCCTCAGAAAACTCATGGAAGAAGATTCTTTGAATAAAGTCAGTCTCTCTCCGAGGAACATGGCGCCCATATCCGACAAATCAGATGGCTATGGGTTCCTTCCGGCTGTACTCTTGTCTCTGCGGATGTCTCTTCGCCTCGACACCGTTTCGACTTCTGTAGCAAACGAGTGAACAATTGGTTCACTTCCGAGCAAAACTCGGCGCCGAATTGATACGCCCGAAAGACGCTCGGAGAAGGAGAACCCGGGGTGGACGGGAGCCGAGATTCGGAAATAACTCTGTCCGGCACCTCCTACGCTGGACGTCATTACTGTATCCTCATTCTGTCGGAGCGCGAAGAAAATCAGCGGATCGAGGAGAGAATGCCGATCAGGGGAGAGAGTTCTGGTCGTTGGCGGATAGCTATCACCCGCGAACGTAGTGCATTCATTTTCGAGGACGCGGTCGAAGATGTGAAAGACCCTCGTCACTCTTCCGAGAACTCCTACCCAGGGCAGGATTTGCGCTTTTCGATTCTTAAGGCACGGCCCAGGTACCACAATATGATTGGCCATGGATCCGGCGAATGTTATGATAGTGCGCTAGACATCGAAGTACCTATTTCTTCGGGAGCCTTCGAGGGTAGCCTTATTCGCGGCAGAAACGAGGCGGGCTTCCTCGTCTTCTTCTTCCGTATTTCCTACTATCATCTTTTCAACATCTCCTTCTTCAATGTGCATTATTCCGAGAGGACCCATCGCCCCGTTTAGGTGATGGACTCCAGGGTAATAGGTCGGCATGGGGCCTCCGAGACCCTACGATCTGGTGAGAGGAACGCTAGACTTAGTCATACTGCCAGATATCGTGGATGCCGGCATTACGGGTGAATCATCAGCTTGACTCCGTCGAGTTCCAAGCTCTCCAAGGCTTTCATAATCTTTTCATCTGTACCAGAAAGAGTGTGCTGTCTCCGATTTCTTTGTGTAATGCCCTAGAGATCAAAGCGCCAAACTTTGGGAGAGAAAATAATCCATCGTTGTCGGTAGCTGGCAGATCTCTTCAACGGGGGCGTGCGAGCGATTCGAAAGATCGCTCCCCTATGTAGCGTGGAGCAGGTCACTGGCATAGTGTACGGTTCGCATAGAGCAATATCCCGAGATTCGCAATGGCGTTCGAAGATGTGGAGGCTTTCCCAGTCACCGATTTCAGTCCCTTCGAGGACAAAGCAATCCGTCGAGGCTTCATCAGGAAAGTCTTCACCATCCTCGCTGCGCAGCTCTCCGTTCTGACAGGTGAGCAGGATCTGAAGATTTCCGGAATGAACTAGGAATTCGATCCTCGGTCTCCTTGGATCTCAGTGAGCCGAGAAATGCGAGGGGATTCCCCTCTGGGAATATTATCATGTAGGTATCTAAGTGCAGAGAACTCTATTCCGCAGCAATGGTGGTGACCACCATGTTCACGGACGACATACGAGTCTACCTGCAGGATCCCGACAATCTCGATGTCACCCTGTTTTTATTCATCGGCTCGATCGTAGTCTATTTCGTATGCACGATCTTGCTGATATGTGTCGCTGATCTTCGGAAGAAATATCCGACCAACCTTATTATTCTCTTCATCTTCACGATCTCGTCGGCGATCTTCATATCGATCGCGTGCACATTCTATACGATTGATTCCGTCATGCTGGCTCTGGGCATAACTTTTCTGTGCTGTGTCGGAATTTTCGTGTTTTCCTTCAATACTAAATACGACCTCAGTTCTTGTCATGGACTCGTATTCTGCCTTCTTTGGGGGCTCCTGCTCACCTTCCTGCTGATGCCGATACCGTACGGCTCGACGAGTAACAAAGTGAGATACTTATCAGATTCACTCGTCAGGTATCTCTGATAACTTTTTATCATATTTGTAACTAAAGAGCAGAGATCCGACTATATCGAGTATTTTCGGCAGGTTTTCGCCGGGATCGGAGCCATCATATTCATGTTCGTTCTGGTGTATGATATTCATCGCGTTATGGGTCGATCGACGGAAAACGCTCTCTCTCCGGAGGAGTACATCGTAGGAGCACTGGAGGTGAGGATCCACGACGCGATCTCTGCTTCACTTAAAGCCATCGATATGCAGGGTGAAGTCTCCGTGCTCATTTTTGAGGGATCCTCAAGCAGCAGTGGGGTGCGTCCGTTCATCTTTTTTGTAATTATCGCTTCTGTGGTTCCAGATTTACTTGGATATCATCAACATCTTCATCAGGATTCTACAGATTGTGGGGCAGCGATGAAAATGCCTGGACGGAAGTGCTTCCATCGACCGAGGAATATATCCCATCGCCGTGTGAGAGACGGGAAATAATACGCACGTATATATCTATAAATTGCCATCCTGGGAGAATTGCTCATTTTGTGGTAGAATATCAACACAGTGTAACCTGACTTAGGGACCACCCTCGTGTTGGGTCCGCCTGAGCTATCGGTCCACTATTGTCAGGCACCGATTCTTTCAGACTGTGTTAACTCGAACGCGTAAAGGGTCCACCTGAGGCATCGGTCCGCGTTCCGCTCGGACGGAAGGTGGACCCATAAGACAGGTTCCACTAGAGCCTTTGTCATCAGGCTCCTCTACAATTTTTTTAGACATGGAAGTTTCCGTGGCGTTGAAGGCAATCATGTTGAACCCCTTCGACGAGTAATTTCCCGAACCTGATCTCCTCTGTTTCCTCTCAGGATTCCTGGATCGAGCATTCCAAAGCCGGTACACCACATGCGAGAAGAGGCTCTCCGGGATATCCTTGCCAAAAGCGTTATTGTCCTGTCCTGGCTGGCTTGCTTGGTCAAGCTCACGTCTTACCACTCATCATCGAGTCGCTGGAGCGCACTTTTCGTTGATCACGGAGACGACGAAACCCGTGGGTCAAATGGCTCTACTTCGTAGATTTCATGCTCGATGTTCCATAAGGTCTACTAGTCAGAACGTCATTCTCTCCATGTTTTAATGCTTGAGTATTTGGAGCTGAATAAATGATGTCGGAATCGCCTTCATCATGGTATGGCTGTGGCAGTATCAAACGTCTCCCGCGTCCCGTTCGATCGCGAAAACTCGGCGGCCGACTCGCCATTCGGCATTCTAGCCGAACAAATGACGTCTCCGTATTTCGTGAACCAATATCATGGAGTTCTCTCCGTGGACCCTCTTCAGCACTATATGACGGGAGGAGGCGGTCTATATCCGTCACCAATGTCGTGGAGGAAGTCCAGCTTCACATCGGGATGTTTCGGTGGGATCCCCATTGACTCGTGGGATTCTCCGAGTCGCGGATTCCCCCTGGGTACGGCGCACGAAATGATGATGGGGATGCCTCATGCAGGCGCCCAGGGAACGAAGAGCCTCGGAGATACGATGGAACTGTTGCAGGCTCTGAGGAAGCTGCATGACGGAAGCCGCTTCGGTCGAGCATTCCGTCCGGCTCCGGACTCGCTTCGATCGCACTGTCTCGGGCCCAATCGATCCCTCAACAGGGGTCACAATCCACGGCAATTCACAACTTCCGGTCCCGGAGAATCGGACCCTTCGCCTCGTCGGAGGAGAATGGACCCGCGCCGATATTCTCCGGACGAGTTGCATGCTCAGGCTTCATCGGTTCACTAATCGTTCTCGAATTTATCGAGCCGATTTGAGCGTGTTGCCGAGTCAAGAAGATTAGGATTTCGGATGTTCTAGATCCGGTCCCTCATTCGATCCAGGCGTCGTCGAGCTCACGATTCTACGGACTGTTGGACAAGATTCCGGCATTGAGATCTCTCCCCTTACAGAAAGCCTTATCTCCCAAATCGGCGTGGGTTCACTCTTCCACAGAGAGCTAGATCGAGTCCTCACATGTCGAAGATTGCTGCGCGCTCCATGGCTCACCATTTGGCTCCAAATCACATTCACCACGAAGCTATGCTCTCTCGAGGAAGCTTCGTTCCCGAGCGAGGAGTTTTCTTTCGAAACACGAGTCTTCCAGATCTCAGCGCAAAAAGAGTCTCTTCTTCCCGGAGTCAAGCATCCTCTCAAGGTAGCGCCCATTATACGTGCATTAGTCGCGAGATCCATGGAGACTTAACCCGCGGGAAGAATTTCTTGGCGATTCCTTTTCACAGAATTCCGAGTGCGGGAGTTTAATCGTCAAACGCCTGGAATCGGGCCGAGCTCGTCCCTATGCATACCAAACGAATGTTAATGGGAGATTGCGGGGAACGTCCATCCAGAACGGATAGAAGGGATGGGTGATAAGCCCCGTTTCAAAAGATGTCGAATGTAGGGGGAGAAATGCGCTTCCATCGACCGCATACATATATGACGGCAGTAGGGATAGCGTGTTGCTTGCTCAAGCGAAGGCTGGCTCTCTCTGAGCCGAAATTCTGGATCGAGGTTCGAGGAA